ATAAAAATAAAAATAAAAATAAAAATAAAAATAAAAATAAAAATAAAAATAAAAATAAAAATAAAAATAAAAATAAATTAAAAAATAGATAAAATGAAATAGAAATAAAAAAATGAAATAGAAATAAAATAGTAAAATAAAATAATAAAATAAAAATAAGCTGAATGCTTTTAATTCCTTACAATATCAACTTCTGACGCTGGAGGACTTGATTTGCTCGCAGTCTATAGATAGCCAAATAATATATATATATATATAGAATGAATAAGCAATAATAATAGTAATAATAATAGTAATAAAGTAGTAATAAAGTAGTAATAAAGTAGTAATCAAGTAGTAATAAAGGAGTAATAATAGTAATGTAATAATAATGATAATTGAAAAGAATGTTAAAAACTACTACTATTATTATTGTTATAATTAATAGAGTATTATTTACGGAAAAACAAGGTTTTGTTGTTTGTTTGTTTGATTTACATTTACACAATACATAGGGAATAAGCCACTGACCTCTATATTTGAATAGTCCGAATCTCTCAAATTTATGGCAACAGCAGCTGCGACCAATAAATCCAAGGAACCATTTCGTTTTGTTTCATGTGAACTACGGTTGGGGAATAAGTTGTGAGGGAAAACATTGCTAGTGGGAGAAATGGCCGCGACGCTAGTTGGTTCTGGCGACATTTCAAGTGGGATACGGATATATTTTTGTACAACACTCGCCTATAAGTAAAAAATTAAATAAACAAAAAAATAAAAATAAAAAAAAAAGCGATGGATAATTGGTTATGAGCTTGATTTGATACCAGAGAATAGAAACTTAAATATGATAAAGACAAAAAAGTTGGATAGTTTTGTGTCGATATAAAGGTTGTATCGGCTTGAAAGAATCGTTACTTTGTAATAATAATTCTTAATAGCACAAAATATTAAAATAAAAAAAAATAAAAAATAGAATTAAAAAAAATAAAAAATAAAAAATAGAAAAAGACAGAAAAAGACAAAAAAAGATAAATAAATAAATAAAAATAAAAATACAAAAATATAAAAAACAAACGAAAGAGTAATAGTGTGGTCGCAACGTGGAAGAAATATTTTGGTTAAGTGAAACGTATAAATAAACAATACGATACGTCACAGAAGATGCGCATATTTAGTGTTTTTTTTTTTTTTTTTTTGTTTGGTTACGCCTTGTAAACCAGAAGTCTCACCAAAGGTATGCATCCTGCAGACAAAGGTTGTATCGATGCTATAGTAAAGCGCATCGATTAATATTTCGTGCAACAATTTCAGATTTGTGCACTTTTTCTAAACGAAATATGCGTGGAGTGTATATTTGTTTTTCAAAAAGAGAAATGCTGAAAAAAAGACTCTATACAAATTTTACCCACCAAATAACCAACTGGGAAAAAAATATATAAAAAAAAAAGAACGGCAACCAAGGGACAGACATGAAGGACAAATTCTACAGATGGAATCCGAATGGAAGGAACGAAAGTTGAAAGTTCATAGCATAAGCAGTAAGAACTTTACGATCAACTTACCCAAGATAGAAACCAAAAGGTGACCGTAGTAGTACCGATAAAGATATACACGTAACAAAAGAGGTTGCGGATTTATCCTGGTATCCAAAGAAACCAAGCGTTTGAGGATAAATTTGGCGGAAAAAAAAGTCAAGTTCGCTTGATATATAAATACTAACTATCAGTACCAAGCAAAACTTGTTTAAACCTGTATTTATAAAATATAGAAATATAGAGAACAAGTAATATCTGATATGCTTTGATATAAATAATCAAATGAGTACCGTGATAAGTAAAAGGAAATATCGAAGCAGGAGAAGCACTCAAGAGCTTGCCTGAAAGGGAGATATTTGATGGGAAAGGTGACTATCAAGAGGAAAAATTGTGTTATGATTTTATATATTGCTGATTAAAAAAATGGGCTGGTTTTTTTTTTCAGTTGTATATATGCAGAGGACGCTTTGTTCATGCTGATTGGACAAATAAATTTGTTTCGGAGATTTCGGAGAGCAATTGAGGGAACGTCACTCCCACATTATTTATATAATATATAATAAGAGTAATAAATACAGAAATAAATATATATATATATGTTATATCGATATATATTATTATAATATATATATGATATATATATGTGTATATATGATATATATTTATATATATAAATATATATATATGAGAATAGAAGCTTGTAGAAACTTGTAAGAATGAATTCCGGTTAAAAAATAAAATAAAAAATAAAATTTAAAAATCTTTAGCAGCCTAGATATAAATATAGATGGATATATATGACTCAAGAAACGTAGGTGTGACCTTTGATCGAAATTGTTTTCTTTCACATGTTCCGCCAGAAAATTTGTGATAAGAAAGAAAAAAGTGACTATTTCGAGGGTTAACTTATAATAGGTTTCAGAAGATAATATTTGTACAAGGAACGCCAATTATGAAAAAACGCATTGTTATAAATCCTGATAAATCTCGATTATTCTGTTCCACTGTCCCCAGTTCCGTCTTCTCGAATGCAAAAAAAAGAATATTGGATGAATGCTACTGACTTATTACGGTACTTATTACGATACTTACCACGATACTTATTATGATACTTATTATGATACTTATTATCTGTTATGATGATATACCCTACTTATTCTTTTTTATTATGATTCTTTATTATTACAGGTCATGGATATTTAAACGTTATAACGCTAATGAGAATAAGGCTAATGAATAATGAAATAACGTTAATGAATAACATTAATGAATAACATTAATGAATAACATTAATGAATAACATTAATGAATAACATTAATGAATAAC